GGGTCTAGGGGTTTAGGGTTAGGGGTTTAGGGGTGTAGTGGTTTAGGGGTTTAGGGGTTTAGGGGTTTAGGGTTTAGGGGTTTAGGGTTTAGGCCGAGAGGCCAGCTGCGGAACTCTGCCATACAGATGGATGTGCACCCCTCGCAGTCGTCGGGACAATCTCTGCAGTAACCGCGATCCTCTGGCAAATTGAGACCGCTGGAATCAGGGCAGTGGCATGAGTCATTTGTACGGCATGCCTGGCAAGCAGTCCCATGGGTCCATGAGAAGTGGTCAGGTGGGCAAAGCTCACAAACAAGCCCGTTCGTGGACGGAGCTTCGCCGGATGGGCATGGTGGCTGCTTCAAAAGGCTTGTGGGTGAAAACATGTCCTGCGCTGTGGCGATGGCATCTGTGTTCCAGGACTGGAGAGACTGGTTGAAGGCATTCGCCCCATTGAACATTCTGTCCATCTGCTTCACCTTGGAGGTATCCCATGAGCCAACCGGTTGGTTGAAAGCGACTGCCTCAGCGAACATGCCGCTCATGTCGATAACGGAGGACGTATCCCAGGAGCCGATGGGCTGATTGAAAGCGACAGCGCCAGCGAACATGCCTTCGAAGCTGGTCACAGAAGAGGTGTTCCAAGAGCCGATGGGCTGATTGAAAGCACCTGCATGCATGAACATCTCCTGCATATGTTCCACAGAAGATGCTCTCCATGAGCCGATGGACTGATTGAAAGCTGTGGCGTTCAAGAACATCCCTCGCATGTCCTGTACAGAAGAGGTGTCCCAGGAGTCAATGGGTTGATCGAAAGCCTTTGCTTCCTCGAACATGTAGTCCAACCTGGAAACAGACGAGGTATCCCAAGATCCGATGGGTTGGTTAAAAACATGTGCACTGCTGAACATCCTTTGCATCCGTTGAACAGATGACGTGTCCCACGAGCCCACGGGCTGATTGAAAGCTTCAGCACCCCGAAACATGTGGCTCATGTCCGTCACAGAAGATGTGTCCCATGAGCCGATGGGCTGATTGAAATCACGAGCCCCAGCGAACACGTAGTACGCGATGCGATCGAAATCAGAACCCTCACCGAACATTTCGCTCATGTCAGTCACTGCAGACGTATCCCAGGAGCCGATGGGTTGATTGAACAAGATTGCCCCCTAGAACATGCGGCTCATGTCGGTCACGGAGGAAGTGTCCCACGAATCGATGGGCTGATTGAAAGCCGATGCGCCCCTGAACATGCCAGTCATCGTTCGCACAGAGGATGTTATCCAGGAGCCAATGGGCTGATTGAACGCTGCAGCATTCCTGAGCATCTCGCTCATGTCGGTCACAGACGAGGTGTTCCATGAGCCGATGGGTTCATCGAAAGCATAGCATTGGCGAAACATCTGCCGCATGCTGGTCACGGAAGAGGTGTCCCACAAGTCGATGAGCTGATTGAAAGCATTTGCGCCCCTGAACATCTCACTCATATCGGTCACAGAGGATGTTTTCCACGATCTGATTGGCTGATTGAAAGCTCTAGCGCCCCTGAACATCGAGCCCATGTCGGTCACAGAAGAGGTGTTCCACACGCCGATGGGTTGATTAAAAGCGTAAACGTCCCAGAACATACCGTGCATGCTGGTCACAGAGGAGGTATCCCAGGAACCGATTGGCTGATCGAAAGCACCTGCCCCGTAGAACATGTAGCTCATGTCAGTCACCGAGGACGTCTCCCAGGAACCGATTGGCTGATCGAAAGCACCTGCCCAGTAGAACATGCGGCTCATGTCAGTCACTGAAGACGTGTTCCACACACCGATGGGCTGATTGAAAGCCCATGCGCCCCAGAACATGCCACGCATACTCCGTACGGAGCGGGTATTCCAAGAGCCCAGTGGCTGGTCGAAACCCGAGTCGCAAAACATGTAGGTCATGTCAGTCACCGAGGAAGTATTCCACGAGCTGATTTGCTGATTGAAAGCACTTGCATAGCAGAACATGTAGCTCATGTCAGTCACCGAAGCTGTATTCCAAGATTCGATGGGCTGATTAAAAAGTCTGCTTTCCCTGAACATTCTGTGCATGTTGGTCACAGCGGATGTGTTCCACGAGAGAACATCCCTCTCATGCCGGTCACAGAGGATGTGTTCCAGGAGCCGACAGACTGATTGAAAGCTCGATTAGACTCGAACATGCGGCTCATGTCAGCCACTGAAGACGTGTCCCAAGTGTCGATGGGCTGATTGAATTCCTGCGCGCCTCTGAACATCCCACTCATGTTGGTGACGGACGCCGTGTTCCACGAACCGATGGGATGATTGAAACCATAACTTGCAGGACCATAGCCGTAGCTGGAGCCGTACCAGTAGCCGTAACCATAGCCGTAGCTGTAGTCCAGAGGCTCATACCACGAGCTCCTGTCACCTTGACTGAACATGAAACTCATGTCAACCACTGAGGATGTATCCCACGAGCCGATGGGTTGACTGAAAGCCAGTGCTTCTTCGAACATGCCGCTCATGTCCATAACGGAGGACGTATTCCAGGAGTCGATGGGCTGATTGAAAGCGACAGCGCCAGCAAACATGCCGTTGAAGCTGGTCACAGAAGAGGTGTTCCAAGGGCCGATGGGCTGATCGAAAGTACCTGCCCCGTAGAACATGTGGCTCATGTTAGTCACCGAGGACGTCTCCCAGGAACCGATTGGCTGATCGAAAGCACCTGCTCCATAGAACATGTAGCTCATGTCAATCACGGAGGACGTATCCCAGGAGCCAAGAGGCTGGTTGAAAGAACTCGCCATGTAGAACATACGCTTCATGTCTGTCACGGCCGAAACGTTCCAAGCGACGATGTTCTCGTTGAAGCTGTCGAGACTCTCGAAGAGGCGGCTCATGTCTGTCACGGCAGACACGTCCCAGTGTGCAATGTCCCCGTAGGTGGACTGAACCGTCTCCTTTCCTTGCACACATGCTCAGAAGTACCGCCGCATCTTACATTCACATTGTTCTGGCATGAATGCTATCGCGGCACAGATGTTGAGGTAAGCATCCAGTACATGAAGAACACTAGACACTGTGATAGAATAACGCTATGCACCGCTGCGCAAGCAAAGGGGTTTGCTTTGGTTGAAATGCTCAAAGACTGCTTCCAACAAAACGTGAAACTGCAGCAGGCGAGAACATTGTGCAATGCCAATGGAAATGAATGAAACACTGACCCTAAACCCTGAACCCTAAACGTGGCAGCTGAGGTTCCTCCGAGGCTTTGCCATCCATCGACTGCCTGCTGGAGTTCGGACCTGTTTTACAAGCAGATCTAACTCTCAGGCCCCTCATCACGGCTCCAAGCAGGAGCCAAGGTGTGGGGGGGGGGGGGGAGGCAGACGGCAGACGGCCTGTTCCTGAAGGCTTGGAAGGCGAGGCAAGGTACGCTCACCCAAAACAGCATCAGCATGGTGGTCGCCATAGCAGCTATGGAGCAACTTGGTGGTCGTGGCATCCTGCGTGTCAAGGCTACGATAGGCCTACATCCATGGCACTGCGCTGCTTGCTGTACGGTTCGGCCCTTGTGCTGACCAAATCTCTTCGGAATGCTTCGATCTCGGACAACAGCGCAGATCAGCAGGCACAGCAACAATATACACCAACACAAGGCACTCCTTCCTCTCTACATTACCCATAGGCCCCTAAGTAGTTCCTTTTTATGGTTTATATTTAGAATCCTATAAGGTAATCCCGAAAAGGAACTACTTGGGGCCTATGGGTACTCCACATGGGTATACATGACGGCTTTTGGAGCCTTGCGCGCTTACTGGAGCGAGAATCAGTTATCACACACTATGAGGATGCATTGCAAATACATCTACACTATAACAGATTCTGCGCTGCAGTGTACTATAGAATACGTGCGTCCGAACTGTGTTTTGCTTCGTTCCTCCTCCCATTTGGTATCTCCGAGAACATTTCCTAGACCCTCCGTCTACCCTCTATGAGGCCCAAATACCCATTATTTGGGACCATATACCCCTACGGGTCTTGGTATATACCAGATGACAAGCCTCCATTTCGCCGCCTACAACGTATCGTTTCTTTTTCGCACGTGTCTCGAGGCTGACGTTCTTTGCGAAAGGACAACCTTGTCTTCGTTGTCGGCAATTTGGACGTGCGACGTCTTGGGCATGGCCGCCCGCGCTCTCGGCGATGTTTGGGCTTGGGCGATCACCACAGAAGTTTCGAAGTAACTTTAAAGCAGTGCAGCGAGTAAACATCGCCCGCCTGGCAATTTGGGGGTTTCCCGTTTGGCCCCATATTTCAGCCCTCCAGCTTGCAGGAGAGCCACTCCTCTCGAAGATTTTCCTGGCCGGTGCCTGAGCCGTTGGGCAACGGTTCTTTGGACGACCTGTCGCTGTTGGCCTGACGCGAGGTGTGCATGGGCACTTACGTGGTGAAGCTCGAGATCTGCTCGCAGGAAAGCAAGCCTGAGTCCAGAGCGAAGTTCCTGCTTGGACTGGATGAGGCCATTCGCGCCCGAGATGAGCAATCCACGCATTGTCAGAGGAACGCCGTGGCTTGTTGGGAGCTTGGGATGGGAAGTTGGTGGTACTGATACAAGCCGCAGCGCAGGCAGCAGTTGCGTCGTGCGGCTACTTCGCAAGCATATCACACAAGCCTCGTGGAAGGCTTACCACTATTCCTGCACTTGGGCTTTTGCAAGTTTTGTGCCCAAAAACCGAAGGTGGTGAGTCAGATGTCGGAGTGTGGCAGGCAGGGCGACAAAGACCGCGCATACTTAAAGCACCCAACCCCAGCACACTCACCATCACGATGCTTTCTGTGGTGGGCGCTTTCGCCTGACTGGCTTGTCGAACCTCGTGCCGACAGTTTGGGCATTGTGCTGTGCCGCTTCCTAACATATACAAGTCGGCAACCATGGTTCGCAAGCGCATGCGCCAGGTGCATGCAAACATGTCCCGGATCGTTTCAAAACAAAAGGTCCGCCACCTTCCCTCCGCAGACCGCCTTTGGAGTTGTGGAAGTTATGCCTAAGTGCATAACATAGTTTCAAGACTAACGTCCTCAACAACAAGCCACGCAAAAGCTACACGACGTTCAGGAAATGTGTCATGAAGTGGCAGTTCTCGAAAAGTGTGCCCAGTGTGCCAATCAAGCCCTGCTTGTCAGCTCACTGGCAGCTGATTGCAAAGCCCGCTCCCTTTTTGCAGTCCGTGGTTGCGCACACTGTTACCCAGACCCCCGGAAGGATCCAAAAAGTAGACCCCCTGATTTGGGATTAATTAAAGGGTGTCGTTTAGGAACCCTTTTACAGGATCTAAATTTTTGGATCCTCCCGGGAGCATTCACCGCAGCGAGGCACAGAGGCTCCGTTGTTTTCAATCGCTGTGGTGCTGGCGCGCCCTCACCGCCCGCACCACCCCCACCGTCATCCACACCCCGCCCAGCATTCTTGGACCCTTTTGTAGGTGTTTAGAGAGTATTTAAAGGCTGCCAATGCGTGCCCGGACCCCCCGCGCCTTCACCGCCCACATCACCCCCACCGCCCCCACCATCCACACCGCTCCCAGCATTCAGAAAACTTTTGTAGGTGTTTAGAGAGCTTTCAAGGCTGCCACTGTCTGAATGCCAGGACAAACCAGACCATCCAGGGTGTTTTTCTCCGTACACAGCCCAAGAGAATTATGCCCTATGCTGAGATGTGGCCGAAGTTTGTGAGGTCCAGGCCCGGTGGCCCAGCACTGCTCAGCAGTGCCCACCTGCTCTGACAAGCTTGGCCGTTTTGAAAACCAGGGGTGCTGCGCTGCTGAGTCTGCTCGAATAAGATCCGTCTCCAGCGCCGTCAACTTTGGCCTTCAAAAAACAGCAGGCACATCGAGAGGTCTTTTTTCTGATGTCAAATTAAACATGGCATGTAAATCACTTGACAACCAGAAACCACAATTTCATTTTGCAAGCAGAGAAAGAGAATGTGAAACAGATCAAGAGCCGCATCGAAGGACCGCTACTTTACAAGATCAAGATCAGCGCGACACTCATGAGTATCAACTCCACGCCCCTAAAATTTGCACCCGCCCAACTGAGCCATCGCCTGAGAATGGCACGGACTATCTGCAAAACAAAAGATGGTATAATTGACACACAAATGATATGACGGCGCAAAAGGAAACTCCAACAATGTACTATTGTGAATGTGCACCTTGCGAGAAGCTTCGAGACCTCTACAACCAAGCTTGAAACTCCCAGTT